AGACGCAATATTATATGAACATTGACATCAAGTCTTGCGGCTCCCCCTTTACCATTGTCAATACAACCCTATTGAGTTAATCCGGGGAATAGCCAAACAGTACTATGATCGTCATAGGAAGTTTTGAAAGTTTCAGCCGATGCCCTAGCGAAGGTGACTCCTACAGTTTGGGCCAAGTGTGTGAAACATACCTAGGACTTGGGACAAGCATCAAGTGTTTAATAGGAAGGAGACTAATATAATCATTCACTTGGATGTGTTCCGATGACTCTGATAAAGAAATCCAATAATTCCTACTTTTATTGACACAATTTTGAAAATCCATAATTCTCAATTTTCTATGTATGCACCTTAATGTAGACTGTTAAATATTTTGGTAGATATGGAAGTTACAAGCTTGATGTTTATTCAGTCGACACAGATTTAAAAGCTCGAGTTTAAGAGCATCATCATCAAAATATATTTTTTTGTCTAGCAGTAATTTATTTAGTCGCATTTCACTCCATGAAGAATTGAACAATTTTAATATTGAAGATGGTTCCTCTGAAGCTCTCATAAGCTTGTCACATATCTTCATCCAATGTTAAATGTTCTATCAAGTTAGCAAATAGATGTGTTATTTTGTATTATAGTGTAAATTTCGTAAGCATTTTTTTTTAACTTTAAAAAACATTATATGGCGTGTCATACTCTACCCATATGTGTTTATGTACTAGATTAGAAGATTTTTGAGAATTACGATTAGTAAATCATTTTGAACCGGTTTCCCTCAGTTAGGAAAATTAAGATTAGCCCATGGTACGGAGACTCGAGCTGTTTACTTATTTCATATGGCGCTGATGACATATCCGCCAAGAACAGCGACACAACTATACCTTGTTAAACCTAAATCCTCAGACTCATCCCCGCCGCTCTTCAAAATTTAACCGCTGCCTACATGAATGCTGAACGGAATTATATTTTTGAGGTCCTCGCCGAGAGATATAAAAACTTTTGCTGGCTAACTTTTTTATCAAAACCGTCAAAGTTTGAAAAACCAATTATTGATATAAGTGGTGGTCCAAATTCTTGCTAGAAACATTTTGATCTTTTATGTCTATTGTGCTTTTGATTTTGAGGTGAATTTCATAAACAGAAATCATATTGTTGAATACTATTTATAGTTCTATCAAAGTTCTATACTTGAATTGAAAAGTTGTTCAATATGACATATTGTGGTCTGTTCGTACAGTGGTCGGTGACTGTCAGTATGGCCGTATGAATTTCGTCTAAATGGCGTAGCAGAATGAACGGAATTTGTGTGGCAGGTTCTTGGACACGATCACTGACAGGCTGGTGACAAGTGTACGAACAGGGCTATAATGGAAAGGAAAACAAGGTTGGCACACACATTCGAGTTTGAATCTAAAATGCACCAGTTTTGTCAAAGAAGTCACAGACAATTAAAGCGTTTTGAAAATGATACGTCTCAAAATCGCTCTACGGCTTTATGTTTTTTTTTTTTTTGGCTTCTTAACACTTTACTTTTTATGTAGCATTTACGGTGACGGTGCTGAAGCCGGCTCTGCTCATGTGAAACCAGAAACCGCGCCTTTTTTCCTAGTCAAACTCTAACATCTTTGTTGAATCAGACCAACTTGTCAAACAATATAACCTCCCAATTATTTGTCAATTTGTCATGTTGTCACAACCAAAATTGTTTACTTTATGCTAGTGATGTACTTTTTAGTTCATTTCGGTGAACTAGTTCAATAGATCTCATTCACCGAAACGAACTAGTTCTAGGAACTAGTTCACGAACGAACTAGATTTATGCAACACATAGTACACCATACATTAACGGTTAAAGGTGACCACGTTGTCATCTAGTTCGCGAACGAAATATATTACGCAACGCATATACAGCCTATAGTAGACAGTAGACATGGTTGCCGATCCCGTTTATAATATGATAAATTTCAACAGCTTTACTAGATGCTTTATTCAATTTCGAGCAGTAGATAGCATTTGTTGTCTACATTTCAGCTTTGTTAAAAAAATTATTACTATTGTTATTATTATTATTATTATTATTATTATTATCATTATTATTATTATAGGGGCTAAGCAGCATCCGGCACGGTTGATATTTGGATGAATGATCGCTAGGAATACCATATTTAGTTTGCTTTCTTTTTTTTTTAGTTACATCTGAAATGTGAAAAATTATAGTATCTGCTGCTCAATAATACGCATCTAAATAAAATGACAACTTTATTTTACATCTGAAGCGTCTTTAATTATGTTCCATAGTTGACAAATCCTTAGATATGGCTAAAGTTCTGTACACTTGGCAATACTCTTTCTCGTTCACGATCGCTCACGCGTGCGCCGATACCATGCCGGCACCGTAGGCTGTAGCGTGTTGATAAGGACGTGGGAAGCTGGTAGGATCGAAGACCGAGCGTGAAAATTTTGAACTTTCCATTTTACCTGACGACCGAAAATTTGTTTGAAAATGGAGAGGAGAAATAGAAGTGCAATTTGGAACCATTTCGATAAATCTGAAAACCTAAAAGCAAAGTGCAAATATTGTAGCCAAAACATCAGCATTGCAAGTGGTTCGTTAGGAAATTTGTCAAGACATATGAAAGCTAAGCACCCTACTCTTAAAACTGTTGCTGAACGAGAGATACAAGGACCACTTGCTGACGGACAAAATCTGGATAATGTGCCTCACCTTCTTGAACCACAACCGGCAACATCAAACATGCAAGATGAGCGGGTAAATACTGCAGTACATTTGAAACATCCTGTGTCGTCGAGTACACTGCGAGAATATGTTGTTCGGCCTGTCCCCTCGTCAAAAGCAAAAAACTTAGATTTGCAGTTAGTGCGGATGATTGTCAAAGAGTACCAACCCATTTCAATTGTGGAAGATAAGGAATTCAAAAAGTTCGTCAACATGTTAAACCCAGGATATTCTCTGCCCACGAGAAAAACAATTTCTCAGACTATCATACCGAATCTTTATCTTTCCGAACTTGAAAAATTAAAGAACCGGATGCAGTATGTAAGTGCAGCAAATTTAACCGTAGATTCATGGACATCTATAAACAATGAAAATTTTATTGGTGTAACAGTTCATTTTTTTAGTGACGATTTGAAACTATCTTCAGCGTTATTGAACTGCGAATGTTACGGGGAACGTCACACTGCGGAAAATTTGAGTAAGTTTTTATTGGACACAGTAAAAGAATTTAACATGGAAAATAAAATTGCCGCCTGTACAACGGATAACGCCCCAAACATGATTGCAGCAGTGCGACGTTGCCAATGGCGTCATTTGCCGTGCTTCGCGCACACATTGAATTTAGTTGTACAGGAGGCAATTAAAGAGATTGGCGAAACTATAAAAAAAGTAAAATCTATTGTTGAGTTTTTCAAACGTAGCTCACAGGCTCAATCGAGACTGACTCATATACAAGAGCAGATGAGTTTACCACCTCGTAAATTGAAACAAGATGTGGAGACTCGCTGGAACTCCACATATAATATGCTCTCGAGGATAATGGAAGTCAAAGAGGCGGTTATTAGTACGTTAGCCATTCTAGAAAATGACTTAAGTTCCTCGTTAAGTAGCCATGACTGGAAGATCATCCAATATGGCACGCAAATTCTAAAATTGTTCCAGGATGTGACTAACGAAATCTCCGCAGAGAAGACAGTCACACTGTCCAAAACGCTTCCAATATTAAAAATAATGCGGAGAAAGCTGCACAGCCTCTACATTTTCTTACGCGGAGAATCAGCTCCAATTGAAATCATGCGTATGATGGAGAAATTAAGTGAACAAATACTAAAAAGATCTAGGAGCTATGAAGACAACGAGCTTGCTTGTCAAGCAACAATTCTGGATCCACGATATAAAAAGCTTGGATTCCCAGATGAACAAAAATTCAAAGCTTCAATTGAACAGTTGAAAACAAAACTTTCAGCAATGAATCCACCCAATCAGAGTATTTTAGACTCAAACCAGGAGGAAAATGAATCCAAAAGGATGAAAACAGACTCAGACCTTTGGGACGATTTTGACCAAGAAGTAAAAAGTCTTTCTGGTGCACAAAGTTCGTTGGCAGGAGGGATTATAGAGCTCGATAAATATTTGGCAGAACCGCTTTTACCAAGAACAGAAGATCCTCTAAAATGGTGGCAGGAGAGAGCGAAGGTATATCGTAGACTGTTCGAAATGGTGAAAAAACGTTTATGTCTGATAGCAACATCTGTGCCATGTGAGCGGCTTTTTTCGAAGGCTGGGCAAGTCCTGACGGAAAGAAGAAGTAGGTTAGGAGCTGACAAAGTTCAAAAAATAATGTTTTTGAATGGAAATTTATAGTTATGTTGATTTATCACATTTTCGTTTTAGTTTTGTTTTTTTCCTAATTATCCTTGATAGGAGCTAATTTTTATTTCTTCTGGCCTTTGTAACCTGCAGTCAGCAGCATTTGTTATGTTTTTATAACTTTATGTTTTTGTACAATTTTATGTTGATTCTTTATTATTTATTTTCAAATAAATATTCTATTTTCTGTGTTTTACTCGACGTTTCGATCACTGCTGATTTGCTGAAGTAATAGTTCTAACCATATAAGATCAAAGTCCACGACAATAAATATATGCTTAATATTAATCCGCAGTAGCTAAGTAGCTATCAAAAAGTATATACGTAATACGTATGATTCAGTTTGTATAATAATGTGCCGTTAATACTTGGATTGGTGACCGCTAGGAAACACCACGTGTAGTTAACTTTTCATCTTTTTATCAAAAACGTAAAAATATCTTCTGCTCAAATTCACCATAATATAACAACATTCTTTTGCATCTGAAAAGTTCCGAATTCTGCTCCGCAGATGGAACATTCTTAGATCTCACGAAAGTTCTTTAAGCTTGGCAACATTTTCCTATCCCACTCTCGGTCTTTCGTTCGTTCACAAGAGCGCCTCTCTTCTCTTGAACCTGTTTCGTTCTCTTTATCTCTTTCGTTCGTTGATTCGCAACGGCGGCGGTTCTGTTAGTTCGTGGTGAACGAGTGAAAGAGTTTCTCGGGGAATGAGGAACTAGTTCATTTAGTTCAGTCAGAAGAATCTTTCGTTTGAACTAGTTCGTTCGCGAACTACACATCACTACTTTATGCACAACAGGTGAACAAAAGCACATTAAGATAAAAAATGTGATGTGGATTAAGATAAAGAAATGTGCTTTGCTTTGTTCAGGTCTGGTAGGAAGTAATTATTAGCAGCTTACAGAAAGTGTGGAGGTTTGGTTATAATGAGTTTGATATTCAAAATATTTACGTTGAATTGCTGGTAAGTCTCTAAACTACAAGTTACGATTGAAAGATTTAATTGTATACTCATATAGTCACAATAAACTTTTTCAGGGGTATACCAATCCCACTAATTTGTAAAGATCGGCAAGACAGAATAAATGCTATAGGAGATGCACTTGCTTCAAACTCATATGATGTAGTCTGCCTTCAGGAAGTATGGTCTGACAGAGATTATTTTTTAATAAAGGAGAAAGTATCAGGTGTATTGCCCTATTCTCATTATTTTCATAGGTAGGTACTGCATAGTATTTTCTCAGATTATATGCATTTCTTTATTGGTGCATGAAATCGTTTGAATATTAAATTTCGAATAAAAAATGTCTCCTCAACATCTTAACAGGGGCATAGCTATCAGAAGACAAAGTAGGGTAGTGCTTTAGGGACCCAAAGTTTAGATGGCTCAATATGAATAACGTGCAGGGCTTAGTATGAATGTGTGGCCATAGATCTAGGCACCCTAAAAGTTTTGATTATTGGGTTGCACTTAGCATGGCCAGGTAGCCTGATTGGCAACAAATTAAAAATGATATGCTTAGTTTTGCTCCATTTTCACGATTTGCTCTGAATAAATTAAATAAATTATGTTGTTGCAGTGGAGTAACAGGCTCAGGTATCTGTATATTTTCAAAATATCAGATCAAAGAAACATTTTTCCACCAGTGGCCTCTCAATGGTTATATACACAAAATTCACCATGCAGATTGGTTTGGAGGAAAAGGTGTAGGATTATGCAAGTTATCTGTGGATAGGTACACTGTCCATGTTTATTCAGCTCATGTAAGTATACTAAAGCTATTTTTGCTTTAGATTGTGATGCACTGTTATCCCTCCATTCTCTACTTCTCTATTCCTAATTTCTATTTTTATCTCCTGTTACTACAAGAGCTGAAACTGAGTTCATCAAAAAATTGTGATTAGTCATGGACCAAACTTACGCTAGTTTGAATATGATAGTCAAAAAGTAGCATCAAGTTGACCTTGCACTTTCTATGTAATGATGTCATCAGTTCATAAAGGATTATGCTCAGCACAATAAACCCTCTGAGAAAAATATCTAGTTATGAACATATATAACAGAGATATTAAACAAATCAACTCAGTGAAACAGGCATATACAATCAGTCCACATTCTTTCCTTGCCCTTCCGGTAATTACCGTCCATCTGGCAACGTTGCCCTTTTCCATATTGTCAGAGCCGCCAACGCCCAGTACAAGTAGAACAGTAATTCAGACCAGTACGCCAGACGGTAAGCCCAGATAGCAGAAGGAGTTGCATATGAAAAATGTTTCTCTATCATTCTAAGTTGTAAAGACAATAGTACGGGGGAACCCATAAAGTGTGGAATACGGCTAATAGGTGCGTAGAATTGTCGGGGTCGAAACGTTGTGATATATCTCCCCCCCCATTTTCTCGTGTCTTTACCCCTAGCTCTCCCGCCACTGAACCGATTTCCAAAAACTACAAACTTTTTTCTCCATGACGTTCTTGTGTGGAAATTTCATCCAAATCCGAGTGGTACCTCTCAAGCTACAGACAGGCCAAAGATTAGCTGACAGATAGGCAAACTGGTGGAAATGAGTGACATGGTTTTCCGTGATGTAAATGCCATATAATATCCATAAAACATAATATATCATTTTCGAAATGTTTTGCGATTACAATACTTCCTCGCAGTGGCGTAGGAATTAAAAATCCTGATGTTTCGTGGGGCCGAATTTAGAGGGACGCTTCGATCCTTAGTCTGTACTAGCGTCAAAGTGATGTCAGTTGCAGAATCTGCCCACTCGACTTACATATCAGATAACAAGTTTTTGTAGAGATTACAGATACATGAGGTATTTTTTTTTTCATATGAAACCTCAAAATATAGGGCTTTGTAGGTCAATATTTCCAGTTCCGTACCTTCTTTCATTCAAGCAAATCATACTTGGTACACTTTGTTAATTTAGCTGAATTCGAGAATATAACCATCAAAAAAATCTGAAGTGTTTGGGGCTTGGCGTAAGTTCTAGCCCAGAATAATTGTCACTTGTCACATCGTACTGACAATATCACACATTCTCTTCTAATAGGCGCTTTTTGGGATACATTTGTGCATCATACATTACAATAAAATGTAATAGGATGGGCTGCATGTTCTTTCCTAGTATATGTCATAATTTTACATCCACATTCAAGGTGAGTCTATACCTGATACACCATAAATGACCTATATTCAAGTTTCCTTCAGAAGTTCGCAAATATTATCAATTTTTATTGATGAAAATATCTTTAAGCAAGCGGAAAAAGTGCGTGTCTTCAGATTAGGAATCTATGCACCTACAAATACTAAGGAGTTGTTAATTTTCTCATACTAAACCTAAAAATATTATAGAACTTTGTAATGCATAATTTCATCTTCTATGGCTGCAATCTACTGAAACATAGTACTCAGTAATGTGAGAGACTCAAGGCAAATATGACAGTCATCCCTAGGTAGCTGTAGGTTATGTGTTGTCGAACCGACCGATTTTTCGGTATTTCTACCGAAATGAGACCTTATTTACCAAAATACCGAAAGCGTCATTTTCCACGATTTTTTGAAATGATCCAGATATTTCCAGTCTTTTTATCGAAAAAGAGCTGGAATCAAAAATAAAGCTAAAAATGAATTATATGTACTTTGTGTAGTTTTATGCCCCACTCTAGTCAAGCATATACTTAATCAGTCGGGCACACAAGAGACGTAGATTTGGATTGCCTATGTTCGCACATCCTTTATTCTGCTTTCCATATACTGTGTACAACAGGTACAGACTGGTAGATCACCGTCATTATCGCATCAGTGGACAGCAATAAGGAAACAAAAAAACTGGAGAACAGAGTTTCAATGATGATTGCAAATCAGTTTAAGAAGCAACCAGTGTTTTCATTGTACAAGTTGTAATAAACATATGCCCTCCAAAACACCTGTTGTGTATGTGCGCGCAATAGAAACATGATTTTTTCATAGGGGGCGCTGCGTGACGCTAGTCTCTTGATCCATCACTGATCTTGTAAAGGCACTCATTTTTTCCTTCTACCGATTTTGTCCTTATATCTGCCTAATTTTAAGGACACTGTCTACCGATTTCGTCTTTTTTTATTCGGCAAAACTGAGTGAACCTATTCTTATATGACCCTTTTATGTTAATATTAATGTTAGGAATCATCCTTTTAAATATCGGACACTTATCTATGACACAATGTAAATATTGTCTGTACTTTTTTCTTCTTTTTCAGTTACACGCAGAATACGACCGTAACTTTGATGAATACGAAGCTCATCGCATCCTGCAAGCCTACGACACTGCTCAATTCATATCGCTCACATCTGAAGGTGCCGATTTAGTTATTTTAGCTGGAGATTTAAATACCGAGCCTGGCGACCTGGCCTACCGAGCACTTTTAAACGTAGCTGGGTTGGTAGACTCATTTTTAGTCGCTGAACGGATGCTAAATTCCGACAAGCATGCAACATGTGAAAGCTGGTGTAATAGTTACACTCCGTCTAATTTAGCCAAGAAAAAAAATCTTGGTAAAAGGATAGATTATATCATGTACCATCCTGGTTCTAAGTTAAAAGTAGTACTCCAGGATTATCGCTTGCCCCTTCCAGATCGCGTACAAGGAAAGGATTTTAGCTATTCCGACCATGAGGCCGTTGAAGCGACTATAGCTTTAAGCGAGAAAAAAGTCGAAACGACTGAAATTGATATAGTTGAACGTCAGTATATATTCAAAGACTGCCTTGTGATTTTAAATAATGCTTTAGATAGATTAAAAACTCATAAAACTATTTATTTATTGTTTGCTGTAGTTCTGATGGCGTTGTTGATTATGTCTCTTGTTTTTGAAACGCCTTATGGCTATATAGTTTTGTTTAATATAGTTAGAGCTATTGTGTCTATTCTAATTTTCATATGCCTACTCATGGCGCTCATTTGGAACAGTATTGAAAGAAACGCGATTCTTGCGGGTAAATTAGCCATTGAAGTTAATATGATGAAGTATTCAGAATCATGACATATATTGTGGAAGATATAGCTTTTCCGCTTAATAATGTATTTGGGACCATATTATTTTTCTAAAATTCAACACAGATGAGCCTGTTATTATATTGGCTACACAAAGTGTGGGGTATTGGTTGTATTTCAAGAAATATTATTTTTTTACGTGCTGTTGCTTATTTTCTTTTTCTCGTCATTTAGATTGGATTTGAAAGCAGATGTGTAATTTAATACAAAATGCTGTAGTTATAATGAAATTATTTTGTGGAAAAGACTAAGGCTACACTTATTATGGATGCGAAAATTTGTTCTGACGAGTTCTGATTAATTCGTCCACATAAACAAACACCTGTTTTCCTAAGAGCTGGCAGTGACCAGCAAGTCACCGTACGCACGACACCGTCATAACCATTTGACCGTTCAAAGATTTGCATCTGCATCTTGATAACTATTGTGTACCAGGACAGTTTACTGAGGGATATGAGAGACCAAAATTATCAATAATAAATAACCTTGAAATCTCTCCTTTATCATCTCTACTAGAAAATAATGGATTTTCATACTCTGTTTTTCCATAATTTAAAAACAGTAATTTCAGTAAAATAAAATTAGCAAACTTCCTCCATATATGCTGGATGACAGAAACGTGCTGACTACCAAAATGGCAGACAACGCGCTCAGTATAACCGCCTAATTCTGACGAGGATCTCAGACGTATCCGTCAGAACCAAATTTCCTCAGAACTCGCATCTATAGTAACCGTAGCCTTGTTCTGTTTATATTACAGCTCTAAAAGATCTTCAGATAAATACTTGCGTTGGCGCTAATGATCTGATATTACTTAATAATACATATAAGTAGGGATGCATCGAGTACTACTTTTTTTCAAAGTGCGAGTACCGGGTACTCGATGCAGTGATTAGCTTTGGCTTATTTCAGCTGCTATGATATTAAGATTATAATTGCGTCTTCGAAAGATCCCTTTCTTAAAGCGCGACAAAAAACAGTTGTGGAACTTGGAAATTTTTTTTTAGAATGGAGCGTCCAGATGCGGTTAGTATATTAGCTGTGTTTTCAGAACTTTCGTTTTTTAATATCTGAGAGCCTTACAACTATTTTCACTGTGGAATTCAGTAGCTACAATATTAAGTTGAAATTGAAACCTTATCTTGACATAGCACATTTGGAACCTTTTTTTATTTACTATTATATCCTTCCTATTACAAATAATGCAGATTTGTAAGTCATTTAGAAGATATACAGGGTCCGTCAGAAAGAACGCATGTTTTTTAAATGAGTAGTACAGTCAAATTAAGTATGGGGAAAAATATTTCATTATATATATGAATTTACAGTGCTTGTTTCTCCATCATCCTCAAAACACATAAGGGACGATAATCATCGTTGGACCTACTGCACACCAAACTGTAACTTTCGGGGTATGCAGGGGGTGCTCATGCAGCTGTTGGGGGCACTGGAGACAAATATCGACAATTTTGTTTATTGACGTATCCATGTAAATGAAAATGTGCTTCAACACTCATAAACAACGTCATGTCACTGTTATCCAACTGTTCAATCATAAGCTGTGCAAAATACGTTGTGCATAATCCCCTGGCAACAGTTGTTGACAAACTTGGATTTTGTAAGGATGGAACACGAAACCCTTCAAGATGCGACGTACAGAGGACGTGTGGATCCCTAGGGAACTGGCACGCAAACGGACGGAACGATTCGCCATTTTGAAAGTACCCACGTACAGAGAACACACGATGCTCAACGTTCCAAACTATCTTGTCAACTGAAAACGGCACTTCTCCCACTATCCAACATGCCCTTCCCCACCGACACGGGATCAGCCCACTCGATGTAGTACCCATTCGAAAAACATGCGTTCTTTCTGACGAACCCTGTATATGCGATATCTTAGACCTTCATTTTTACTTGAGGGGGCACCGCGAGGCCCCAAGCTATTCAGATTTTAAAAAATTACCTTAAAGAATCGATGCGATGTCAAGGCCATCAGGAACATATGTAAATATTAGCCTTTGGGAGAATATTACAAAAGAAACCAAATTGAAGCTGCTGGATGTTATAGCAGGTGTTATTCAGATTCACTAAGGAGTAAAGCGGAATTATCCTTACATGTTAGTGAAGCTTTTCTTTGCAAGACTCGGGATAATCGTTATTCACGTTGCTTTTCGACTTTTGCTACATTTTGTTTAATTTCATTGTTTTTTGTTGTCTTTTGAATGTTCAAATAAACGATAGAAAAGCAAATATGTTCATCCAAAACGGCAATATCACAATGTGGTCTCGGATTGAACTGCCATGTAACCTGCTCCATGGTCTTACCATATTTTTTGAAAAAACTTATAGTAGTAACACCTTGTGAATAAAAAATAAGTTAGGCAAATACCATGAATATGCTAGTGTACTGGAGAAGAGGGTCAACAATTACAAAAAGAATCATTCAAATCAGTTCCCTAATTTCGTCCAAATTTGCTGTAACTTGTATCTATCATTCTATAAAGCTTTACATATCAAGGTTTGGGAAAGGCATTTTGAGCTCACATCTAGAAATCTTTGATGTACGTTTAGACAATTATCCAGCGTCGTAATTTAATACTCGGCAAAACTTGGTAACTTAGTAAAATGAGCCGAGTACCGGTTGTAAACAGAGTACCGGAGCATCCATACATATATCAATTATTATCATATCTAGTAATCTAGATGAAGTGAGCTATACTTATATAAAGAGAAATGCGCCACTCTGTACTTAATACTTACATCTTTTGGCTAATGTGCGAAATCGGTTTATTGAAAATCCTGATTGAAAAACTACCTGAAAACGACAGATGTATTTATATAGCTGAATTGTTCTCGACCAGCTCCTTAGCTTGCGATAAAAATTGATCTTGAATAGAAAAAGTATTCAACAGATCTAAACAATGTGTGGATATAGAATCTGACTACTGATACTCATTATAAGTAAGAAAGAAACTGTGGAGTATTTAAAACTTAAGGTTTTTGGGAACAATTATAATTAAAACAGCAATGGCACGAAAATTCAAATTTCATTATATTCTATTTACTTGGAGTTTGTCTTCACTACCACATAGACTCATGCGTTTCTATGGATCCAGGTACAATCACATGAATTTCATGCATGAAGTGTGGTGGCTTAAAGCTACTAAAATATTTATTTAACTATGTTTAATGTATCTCATCTATATTAACTTCATATATGTAGAATTACTTTGTAATTAACTAATTTTCTCGTGTGTGTATTTCTTTTGTGCGTTTAATGTTTTCACTGTTATACATTCAAAATGGATTTCAGAGTATACGTCTGTTTACTATTTATAAACTCTAAACATTGTGTTCAATAAATAAAACTACGAATTTTCGAAAACCCTTTATTTCGATCAATTCGAACTAATTTTTGGTCAGGCATACATACACACTCTTAAAAATATCAAATGGATTCTCCCCAAATGTCAACTACAAGGTGTGATCAAAAAACATTACGTGCGAACTAGCTGACAAATCAACTAGAAATACTGTATCTTCCGAAATAATTACAAATATACCCCAAGAGCTGCTTCCTCTTTAATTCAATATGGCTTCTGCGCATTAGCACTATCAGCCAGATCATTTTTGTGACTCTATTTTGTCTGGCACATAGCCATGTACGAGTCACTACACTACCACCCAGAGTCGATGGTATTTAACTCCCGTAACTTTTGTTAATGAAAAAATGGTCGTGGCATGCATAGTACGAAATGGGCGCCTGCGTGGCCAATTTGCGCGTATTGAACTCGGCGAGGCGTTTTTTGATAATCCCTTGTATGGAGAAGAATCCTAAACGTATTAAACTAGCTGCGATCAATAAAAATGTTCTAACTCGGAATTCCATCAATATTATCATCGAGGATTGAATATTTACATCCGTAAATACATTATACAGACAAATATTACTCAACGTGTACAAAAATTATACATCTAAGGACTCATCTATGCACGCGACTTGTGGTGCGCGACGGTGTTACATTACAATGTTTGACATAAAATATGGGGTTATCAAGAGGCCCTTGTCCAGTCTGTCACTCTCACTGTCAAGAAGCACTGTCACGCGACACAAATCGCATGTATAAACTTTCAAAGTTACACAAGTACAATTTGTCAACAATACAAAACAGGCGGTGAATGCAAAGGTAGCATTCCTACTATATTAAATAAATAACTATAGTAATAGGGGTATTGATTAATCTTTGCGCACTTTTCTCTTTCGAGTAGCGCCTCCCGACTGCTCTTCAGGAGCTGTCTCTTCCTGGAAACGAAAAGATTATAATAAAAAAAATATCCATAATTAAACAAAAAACCAACCACAGGGTCCAGCACAACGGACGGCTGTTTTTGAAATGGCTAGCACTCTCCGCCTATTCGGGCGAGAGTGGTGGGGAGAGTGCCATTTTTACCAGTAGACATTATGGAGCAGTGGACGGTTGAGCACCGCGTTTTCGAGTACGACAGTTTTGTCCGACATAATGAGTCACGGCTGTACAGCGTGAGTTTCGTCGCCACTTCAATATTCATCGGAATCGTGCAGCTCCTTCTCGAATCATCATCTTTAGTTGGGTTCAAACACCTCGCACACGTGGTGTACTGGTCAACAAAAGACCAAGCGGAGCTCCACGAACGGTTCGAACTCCTGAAAATGTGTAACGCGTTCGATAAGCCCTCCTTCGTAGTTCGGCTAAGGCGTATTTTGCACATGAAACTCCACTTTTACCACTACAAGTTGGCGATTGTGCAACAGTTACAGCCCGGAGCTACGCACAACGAATTAACTTCGCACTTATCGAGCAAAATGAGAACCTCATTTTGTTCATGAGTGATGAACCTCACCTTCATATTAATAATTGATGATGATGATTAACCAGCAGAATTGCCGTTATTGGGCTAATAAAAATCGCGACAGTTACATGAAAGACCGCTGCACATCCCAAAAGTGACGGTTTGGTGAGCTGTATCGCAAACTTGCATCATCGGCCATTACTTCTTCGAAGGCAATGCTGTTACCGTGAACTCGGAGCGCTATGTCGAAAATGATTATTTTCTCCTGAATTACGTCGACCAAGTGTTCCTTTCCGACCTGTGTGGTTCCAACAAGATGGCGCGACCACCCACACAGCCAGAGCAACGATGAATGTTATTCGCCCTCTCTTCTGTGGTCGCCTGATTTCCAGGTTTGGTGATGTTCACTAGCCGCCTTGGTCCCCTGATTTATCCATCAGCGATTTTTTCCTATGGGGACATCTCAAGGCTCGTGTATATGAGCACAAGCCCCGAACTCTCTAAGAGTTGAAGGAGACAATTCGCGTGGAAGTCGCCCAAGTTCAGAGAACGATGCGAACTTTCAAGAACGCCTCCAGCAATGCATCCTCAAAAACGTAACCGCATGACTGATGTCATTTTCCACACTCAAACATAACAAACGCTATTTCATCCTGAACCTGAATGCGTCGATAAATTTGTTTTTGAGTTTTTGTGCCGGACCCTGTATTTGGAAAATAAGCGAACTGTGTACTCAGGAGCGTTGAATCCGATTATGAATCGCATTCAAGATTTACGGGCCTGATTTACCTAGGAAACTAGATATCATAGATTTACAGGTGCTTTTCAAAATGTTCCGCTTTTATGAAGCTTAAATATGAAATTAGGAAAAAAATTCGATCTTCGAATATGACTTCAAAAAATGTGAAGTGTTGTAGGGGCGAATTTCAGGTATGCAAGGAAGCCTTAATATAAGAATTCACCCTACTAAATTTCTATTTGTCACTCGTTGCAGGCGAATTAAAGCTTATGCAAGTACGTAATTTGAGGTGTCGAATTCGAAATTGTGTACCAAAACAATCGTCAAGAATCGTGGAGCGAATTTGTATTATGAAATGTGTCGCCTAGAATCCTTTATTAGTCCAAGCGCCAAACTGGCACGACTTCCCAAATCACATATACAAAAGTAATTTTCTAGAATTTCTCATAGAAAATCATAAAATAACATAGGACTCTGTCGTGTAAAATTTTCGCTCTTCAGGATTTCATAAAATCATTTTGTTGTATGTTACAAAGTTTACCTCCACAGCCTCGTTATCTTCATCTGAATCAGGGTTTGAGATTTTCTCAGCATCTTCATCATCTTTGGTTTCGTTTCTGTTAGCTTCTTGTTCTTCATCTTCCTCTTCAATGACATCTTCATTCACTTGGTCTGTCTTTTTCTTCTCAGCTTCCAGCCTTTTTTCCTCTTTCTCCTAAAAATTATTCAAAGTTCTATACCTCTAAAAAATACCATATGGCAAATGTTACATGATTAATTTTTACTATGGGCCATGTCATCAGTATTTACTGGAGATAATCTCAGTGGCACTGAATGTCTATGTAACCTCATACATCAATAGTTACAAGCTACACTGTCAATAAACACCACATTCCATGGTAAATAGTGACATATCACAGTAAATACTAATTGTGTGACATTTGTCAATGATGTGCATTACATATTCATTGGTCAAGACTCTAGCATGTTCAAAAATGGTTTACCTGTTTAGAACTACTGGGTTTACAGCAAAGGTACAGCACAAATACTACTGGGATCGCTAGCAAAACTATATACACTCCCCATAAGTATGGATACTCCACGGTAAGACTGGCCAGCCTCTGGATCACACTCTCCTAGCAAATGGAAAAATTATTAACCTAAAGGCTATTGATAGAAAGCGAAATTATTCCTAAAATATTGGCGGAAACCTTCAAATTATTTCTTAATATTGCTACCTACAGGTTTTTTTTGCAAATACGACGAGCAGCTAATATATTATGCCATTAGCACTCATGATTACCTCTGTTACACATTTATATAGATAGTAACCATACAAAATCACTGGTATGGAACAATACACAAAACATAAGGCCCATGTTTTTGGTTTGTAATTCATCTTTTTCAGCATTCTTCCCCAAAATGTTGCCTTTTAAAAACATCAAAACACAAATCACTTAGAAAAATAAAACTTGAGTTTTATCTATATAAAGAACAAGTCAACCGACCAAGGTTATTGGTTCCTTCCACCATTCACATTTATTTTTTTAACATTTGTGCAATGAAACTATATTTGGTGGTGTTTATGCTTTGAACCATTAAAAAACTGACAATCCAAAAATATAAATAGGAGCGCGCGCGAATGAGATTTGGATACACTTTAGCTTTACTTACAGAATCCTTCGCAATTTTTTGGCGTTTCTTGTCGAACGTCTCTGCCGCCCATTTTTCCGCAATTTCTAGCTCCTCTGTGATTATTATGTTGTCAAAAAGAATATCTTTTGACATTGACCACAGTTCAAAACCAACAGCATACTGTAACAATCATTTTTATATCATTTACGCATTTGCAGGCGAAAAAATAAATGTACATACCACAGTGTTCATTTTGAATGGTTGCTTATCTTCAAAATAGTTAGGGTTACGGATTTTCTTTGGTCTCCATTTACCTCGGTAGTTAGGGTTGTTAATGAGTGGTGGCCTCCACTTGCCTTTGTAAGCAGGATTATTGATAAGAGGAGGTTCCCACCTAAAAAAATGAATGAAAACATCCAGGGAATATATACTACTGATCAAACTTTCATTAAATCGTCTTTACACAGGGTGTAAAAATCTGATATACTGCCTTAGGTGTTTGTCTATTTTAGTCAATGATTTCCTCTGGTTACAGTCACAGAGAAATAATATTAAAAAATGCTTCCCAAAGGTACCTTTAGATACTGTTCTCACCAAAAATAACTCCAATATGATTTCGACTTTTAGATACATTGTTTTTGAGTTTCCACTGAAGCAACTGTCAATACAAGATTTTATGAATAAAATCTAGTAAAATTTATTTATCAACAAAGCACAATATAAGTAAAACAAATTTATGTGTAATGAAGGATCAATGGAAACTAACAGCAAGAAAACATGTTTCTTGAGTCTAATGATCACTCTTACACTATTAACTTGCTTGTCTTGTATCAGCAGTAGCTTTTCTAGAATGTTTTCATAACTGCTGCTCCAACCGCATCACTTCAAAAAACACAAAAACGCGATGGAGAAATATTTATATATATATATACATTAGCTGAAGTGCCACAGATGATGTCTTTCATCAAGTGGTGGGCAAATACAAGCTGACCAGCGACGGCAGTACGAGCAACTGGTCGTGTTGCTGTCGCTTTGGAGGCAATGCTTCTATTTGGATATACAGGGTGTCACAGAAGTCGATGTCAAGCCGGAAACGGAGATAGGCCAAAACATAATAGCTATCAGAAAAATATAAAAAACCTAAGTCGTGTATTTTTCAGTTTCAATTACAGGCTTTAAGAAAAATCGGAGAAATCTACACCATGTGATGATTCCCATTACTACAAATTTCAATTTTTCTTAGACGAAGTGATGCGACAGTGTCATTCTACATAATGACAGCAAGACAGACAGTAACGCCACTTTTACTCATTCGTGAATGTAGTTATTAACTTCACAATAAATGTTCAAACTGCCTTCTTTCTTCACATAGAAACCAACTGCTAAGTTTCCCTCCTCTAATTGCTTAAGTACTGTTTGAAAAAATTGAAATATTACAGCATCTGTTAATCTCTGTTTACTTTAAAATGATACTGTGATCTATTTTGGGGGTGTACATTTTTTTGCGATTTTTGTTTAAAGTCTATAATTTGAAAGGTACACGTTTAGATTTTTCAATATTCTCCTGAAAACTATTATGACTTGACCTATCCCCCATTTCCGGCTCAACGTCGACTCCTGGGACACCCTGTATGTGCCGAGTCGGGTTCCCTTCGGTTTGCAGTCATGAATTGCTCTCAGTGATAGTGGTCCCTTAGAAGCCTTTATCTCTCTAGGACACCATAGGAATCTAAGAAATACGCCATATATTCTGGGATAACTTGTGGTACTTACTTGCCGCATCCTGGCGCATCAGCACACTTGGGATTCTCAATCAGTGGTGGTTCCCATTCACCATCCATCTCAGTGTCCCAGTCTCCGGGTTTTTCTCCTTTTGGATCTGGAATATGGGTTGATTCGTCAACCAACCATCCATCGGGCATACGCGCTGTCTCGTCAACGATTTGCGCAGGCGCATCTTCGTCCCAGTCATCTGGCTTTGTCGCACTTGGATCTGGGATTTTTTCTCTAGAAAACACTTATTTAGAATGCAAACAGCAAGTCTTTTTCAGTTATAATTATTGATTCTGATGGGCTTATTTTCCCAACACTACCTACCTGCCTTCAAACTGCAATTAAATCTATTTATGACTGGCGATAGGCTACCCTAGTTTAATATCCTCCACAATTAATGAACTTAGCCATAAATGGCATTTGAATGTCAGGTTTAATATGGTTGGTTATAGAAGCTTTGTCTATGACAATTCACTGCCTCATTAAAGAGATGACTTGGTTACTTACCTTTCATCCCAATTCTCAGGTTTCTTATCATCAGGATCCTCAATTTCCTCTGGAGGGTTAACAGGTGGAACAAAATCTTCTAACAAACTGCCAGAATTAATTACATTATTATCAACCCGAACTTCAAAAGTATTATCTGGTTTCAAAATCAAAGTATACAAATGTGGCAGCTTGTCTGAAAAATACTCCTCCAATCTCTCCTTTGGTTTTTGACAGTGCTTCTCTTCAACAGAACCATTCAAAGGATTCTTATGTTTAAAGATGAAGTGTAGTTTGTGGTCATTTCCACATTTATCAGGCCCAAACATGATTGAGTAAGATGTTTTATCATGGAACTTAGTGAGATCTTTTGCATCTGGGTGGTCACTGATCAGTTTTAAGTATGCCCCTCCACATTCCTGTCCATCTTGGAAAAGTACCTCATACTGCACAATCAATGGTTTATTTTCAAATTTAAAAGGCCTGGATAGAGGTGCAGAGATAGCTGCATGCTTAGCTTTGGACTTAAGCACAAGACCTAAATCGCCAGGAAGACTGTCTTTTTGAGCAGGTTCCACTTCCCACAGCCCATCATACTTGGCTATTTCATCTTCAATATTGTCTTTTTTGGCTTGAGATTTTATCCACTGAGTACGGAACTTGCTAGGGTCATCAAAATGGTCTGCAAAATATACTTTTTCTGGGGAGGGTACTTCGGGGCTATCATAAGGAACATCTGACTGGGAATCATCTACTGTCTCTATAGTAACATCATCCTAAAATAAGTTTTGACTGTGAAGATTGATTCTGGTGCCTCAGGTTGATAAATGATAACTCTGACTTCATAAACTACCTTTTTGCAGGCATATTGCTTCTCAGAGTCAACATGATGTTTGCGGAGGTCAACTTAAATTTTACATTTGTTCAATTATATAAGATAATATTTACATTCTCCACAAAATGGAAGTTTAATGCTATAAGAAGTAAAACATTAAAGCATTATATTTAAAAAGTGATGAAAGCATGTGTTTTTTACAGTAGAGTGGTTAAATTATTGACCTCTCACTTAATTTACCATGGTAATTAACCATGGTACTATCTTTGTTTCATTTAACTTCTGAATCGATATAGGTGGAGGACAATAATTTATAATAATGAAATTGCAATGGCAAAATCAACACACATACTAAATATTAGGACTGTAGGTTCCTCCACATATTTTTTAATTAAATGCCTAGACACTCCCATTTCTAAATAAGTATCTTCCTAAAAAGTTGGTGATACACTTAATAATGATAAAGCATTATCTTGGTGCTTATCTTTAAATAAATACCAGTTTTGTGAAGCTCACATTACAAATGAAAGTGGTACTACTAATATTAAACATCCAAGGAAACAGATGCATTACTAATGTGATAGGGGTGATTGTTAATGAAAAAGTCATCAATATCCATTAGTGTAGGTATATCTCTTTTATGCTTGACACATTATACTTTTGGGTACTTACATCAATATCTTCAGTTTTGATTGATGTTATATGAGAAACAAAAAGAATTAGACAAATAATAAAGGTGTGTCTCTCTCTCATTTTACTCATAGGGCTGGAGGATCTGAAAAATGATATTTCTAAGATAAGAACTAGTCATTTACACTTGCATTTTTTATATAATTAAATTAGAGAAGTACGTCGTAAGTTACGCTCGATACGCTGTTAATCAATGAAGAAATACTACAGGAATAAATGTCAGGCTGAATATAGAATTATAGTGCATTCCTCTGTGGTAAATTCCTCAAACAAAATTGGTGTACGAGTCGAGAGCAGATTAACCTAGAAATGTGTTTTACGCTTGATACATTAGCAGCGCTTACCTGTAAGCAAAAATTGATGAAAGTACAATTTTTCGTAACAGCTCCCTACGTATTAAACACGTCTATCTGTTTTTTCAATTTAAAATTATCACTTTTTAACCAATTAACTTCCACCACGATTCACCATTTTACCGCTGACAGTTGACATTTGACGTGACGAACACACTGACGAAGTGACGAACAGCATGGCTGGCTGCGTAGGGCGAGCGGCTAGGGCTAGAAAAACATGGCAGGATAGCCACATCTAAACTAAAATTCACTAAATACTGCAGGCTACAGGGTGATCCGACTTAAAACGGTCGCATCCATCAGCACCGTCTGTACTATTTGATAAATATGATTTTTTCTGATTGTGCAGCATAATCAGTTGTAAATTGTAGAGACGGTTATCTAAGTTTGGTGGAGAGTCCTCTGTTAAAGTAACCGTCCACACTAGTCCTCACGTGCTCATCGGACTTTTCACACCAAACATGATTTAGGAATTTTTGTGTGTAGAATTTGATACAAATTGATCCACTGTTCGTCTTGGGACGGCATGCCGATCAGGGCCAAGTTAGCATCAACGGTTACGACGGCGTGGTTTATTTGCGGGGTGCTGCTTTTTCTACTGATATGAAATTGGTATGAAATTTCATTCTGACAACTCTGTTTTGATATCTAGCTAGGGACAACTTTTACGAATAGGGTAGTGGTGAGAGTAATGGACACTTCACCATTTTAAACTGGTCTATAACTCTCAAATTCGAGCCCCAAGATACGCTGTTATGAGCATAATATTATTCTGTTAGCAATACACTTATCCAAAAGTTAAGGCAATCAATATTACACCTGTGCCGAACATCTAGAGTTGTGAAAATCACGTCCAAAATCTTGACAAAAGTCCCATCATCCTTAGAGTAGTGCGGTAAAAATAAGGTTGTTTTTCTGTTTATGGTTCGCTTACTTATGGTTAGGATAATCAGATAAGTTTAAATTTCAGGTATTCAGTGACGTTTGCCTTGTTCTTAACTTTGTCTGTCTTGCAATGGGTGACGAATACTAGATGGAAAATAATAATTGGAGATGTCCCAGTAATGGACACTGCGAGTATCCATTACTGAATGGGCGATTTTCAGTAATGGTCACTTCCTTTCTAGATTTGATTTCGCATTTTCAAAATTATTGTGGGTTCATTATGGGATAAATAACGCGTAACAAGAAAACATTCTTTTTATATTCAGAGGATAACATGCTCAAAGCAATATAAAAATGGTATGTCGAAAAAAAAGCTTCAGTTGAATTTTGTGTCGGTTCCCCAGTCTTTTACTTACTTGAAACGTATATGTCCTTATTTACTTACCTTTGATTTTAGGTATTAACCTAAAAAAAGATGAAGGTGCCGAAATAAGGAACAATGCCTAACGCAGGCGTAGGCTTCTGGAAATGCCCAGTAAAAGAAGATATTCTTTGCTATTTTATTGAAGATATACCTAATAACCACGATTAATAATCCATAAATATGAATAAAGCCATTAGTTTGTAATTGTGTCCATTATTGCCACCACCATGTGTCCACTACCTATTTAAATATGACCATTATTACTCGAACATTTGACAATTTTGAAAAAATACTAATTTTACTGTAAAAAGCGAACAACAATATAAGAATTGAAATTGTGTAGGGCGTACGCTTATAAATGTTGATATTGTGGTTTTTTCCATTGTAAAGCAATATCAAAGTTACAAAACTCTTGGGTGCCCATTAATCCCACCACTACCCTACTATGCTATCGGCGTTTGTCGCCACGTATTGTATTGTTTGGTTTATGAGCAACATTTTGGCGAATATGCAAGGTGTGACAAAGTTGATGTAATCTTATGTAATGTAATCTCCGTTTATAGTTATTTGACATTTCGTAGGGTTTTTGTGACATAACATAGGTTCTTCTACAAGATGTTAACTTAGCACAAGCTGTTGTACATTTGTTGTGAACTCGTTTTGTAGCTGTGTTTTTTTTGACGTTTTTTAGGTTTTTACATAACACCTCTGCGGAGCCCTACTTGCTGCTTGCGACAGCTGAAGGGCAAAAAAGTCCACACCTTCATACTAAAGTCCTTCCACGCTCTGTATACAGGGATTAGAACCCTTCTAGGTTATTACAGACCCTTGAGCCAGTTACTTTGGTGATACGTATTTATCCTATGTTTGAAAAATAAGCTTTTTAGCATAACTGTCGCAGCGGTGTACAAGTGATTTTCTTGATCATCTATAACCAGACTACATATACAAAAGTAACAAAAGATATTTCTTTTATAATCGTCAGTTATAAACGACAATTGCCACTTAGAAGCTACAATTAGCTATAATTTTCATTTACATGCGGCAATAGCTATTATTTTTATAGGTTTGTATCCGACAATTAAAGGTCATCGAAGCTTGAAACTGATGATAATAGCTAATTGCATCGCGAACAGTTGTATTCATACCTGTCATTTACGTCACAACTAGCTATAGTTGTCAGTTTACATTCTGAAATTATCTATATTTGTCGGATATATTTCGTAATTAGCTATAGATAATTGTCAGGTACAACTGAAAATGATAGTAATTGCATTTTTTAACTGACACGAACATCTAATTCAAACCTACAACTAACAATTATAGCTAAATTGCTGCTTTTAGCTGACGATTATAGCTAATTGCAAATTGTAACTGACAGCTATAGATAGTTGTTCAGTAACTGACAGATTCCACAATATATAGATATATTTTTTCGCGATGTCCTTTCAGTGCTTTATTCGGGCTATGCGTTTATAATTAGGTATCCGTTATAACTATTAGTTATCACTTAAAACTGGAAATTGTAATTAATTGCAACTTGTCACTGACATCAATAGCTAGTTGCGAGTTCTAACTTACAATTATAGCTTATTGACACATTTAATTGGAAATAGCTAATTTCTAACTATAAGTGAAAAATACACGTAAGTGTCACCTGTATAGCTAATTGCAACTAACAATTATAGATAACTACAACCTATAACTGAAAATTTTAGGTAATTGCAACTTGTAAATGAGAGTTATTAATAATTTTTTTGAGCGTTTCCGATCTTACTTATTGCGGATTTCCTTGATAAACGTCTTCACCATATTGCCAGTCCGATGCTGGCCTAAATGCAAGTTGACGTGGCAACATCGCAAGGAAAAGCAGAGCGCAGTCCGGCGTGCAGGCGTTCAACAGATGTCATCGGTCCTGCTGCGTCGTACTGCAGGAGCGTGCGCTTCGCCAGCAGGCCGCTAGAGGACGTCTGCATCGGGCTCCTGCATGATTTCGTATTTGTAAGTTCGCAGCGTAGCAATGATCCAAGAGCCGATGTTCGTGGCGCGCATGTCACAGCCTACTACAGCTTTGACCGGGTAGAGCGCTCGTCGCTCCATCTTGAGTAGAATATAGCTTGTGAAACGGTAAGTGTATAATTGTGCGAGACCGAAATCCGCCGATGTTTATAGTTTAAAGTGGTGAAAATTAACTAAAGCAATGTCTTCGAATAACCAGAAGCAATCGACGACGCAACGTATGATACAAGGTCAGTGTGACGTTATGCTTATGTTAGTAGTTTTGTTTTCTTGTCGTACAGGATTGATTTTCTAGGCGCCATGACTATCGATTTCGGGGAATATTGTGACAGAATGTGTTTATATTGCCGTGCACTCCTTACGAAAACATTAGGGACGCCTATTTTCGTGAGCTCTGCTTTGTAGGTGAACTAATCTGCTACATTTTGTAGCTTTATCCTGGTCTGTAAGAGGCCTGTAGGTCGAACGCCGTGCTCCGAACTCTTCCTGATTTGGCAGCGGCTATTTAAATATTTGCTGCGGTGTTCCTGCGGCACCTTTGATACCGCCTTACAACCAAAAAGTGATACTCGAAATCTACTGAATTGGGATATCGCTAAAGTCGAGCAATATGCTAGCAACTCTTCCCTTTGCACCCACCATAACTAAAAATACTTTTAGTGGATTATACGAGATTTAAATATATCCGACTTATTTGAAAACAAAAAGTTATTTTTTGGACGACACGAACAGGTTGCCAGCTGTGTTAGCGGAATGCTGACAAATATCCAGTTTTTGAAGGATACCAACCTATTCCAATTATAATACTAATATTAATGTTGCTTGCAAATATTACTCGCTATCACACATCAAAAGTTCCTATCTGCAAACGGTACGGAACACCTTGACTCTACCAGGAGGTCCTGTAATGCATTAATATTCTATATCAAAACCATGTAGAATTTCTTGAGCTCATACTTTTAAGATGGTAGCTAATATTTGTATCGTGTATGGGCAACAGGTAAAATAAAATCAATAACTCCGAAATTCATATTAGTAGGTCTCCAATTTACTACGATGTTTCATTTTAAATTGTAATAAAAACTGTAAGCGTACCGTGTCGTGGAAAACTATATAATTATTGTATAATTTCAGAGACTGGTATAATTAAAATAACTTTAAACATAAAGGTAACTGACACACTGAAACATGTGCGTTGTGATTCTTGAAAAATCTGTGCACTGTTCATTTCCTACGTTTACCTATTTTTATTTTAACTGAACATTTGCAAGTATCCTTTGAGATTAAATGAATTATCATATGTGATAATGAGTTACACGAATGTCAACAACTGATCGCAGTATATAAAAGATAATGATCTTGAAATTTTATAGATTTTATGTCAGGAACAAAAACGCAAGTGCTTGATATATTATCTTCTAGATCCATTCTGTAGTAAGTATTCCATATTTTCATCATATGCTCAACATCCTTCAGTTTTTATATCCGCAGAACGTTATATATCTTTTTAGAAAATGTTTTGGTGGGCAAATGGTTACCAGGTTTTTTTTTAATCCATGTCAGTTGTATTGTTTGTTGATACTGAGTTGGCTGTTAGTTTCGACTCGTTTGTGATAATTTGTACATAAATGCCAAATGTTCATTATGCATTCA